CCTGGGGTGCCGGGGGTGGGATGGGGATCTGCCGGCGGCTCACCTCCAGGCAGCGGGGCGCAGCCTTGCCGGATCACCTCCACCTCGCACAGCACCAGCGCGTCCTCCCGGCCGGGGATGAGGATGGAGACGTAGCGACCGCGAAGCCCGTGGCAGCAGACGGTGCTGAGCGAACCGGGGCCGGCGTCCGTAATGATGCCGCAGCTGCCAGGAGAGGAGGGAGGAGGAGGATGAGCCGGCACGGTCCCGGTGGGGGTCTTGGCGGCGGTGATGGGTCTGGGGCTCACACGGGGTTGCGCCGGCCGCGGTCGACCAGGGAGTTGCCGACGTGGATCTCGGCACCCTTCAGCCTCTCCCAGCAGCAGTCGTGGCGGTTCTTCACCACCACGGCGTAGACAGCGTGCCGGCGGCCGAGATCTACACGCCACCACGGCTCCGGCTCCTCAGTGGTGTGGGCGCAGGAGCCGTGCTCCCAGTTGCTGTCCCGGTTCCCATCGACGGCGTTGGCAGCACCGCTGCCGGCGTCCAGCACGGAGGACTGGGTGGCCGGGCGGCCCAGTGCCACGTTCTGGGCTGCGGGGATGGCCGGGCTGGGGCTGCCGTGTCCCCCAAAACACCCCCCTGGTCCCCCCCCCCAGTCCACTCACCCCCAGGCAGCGCGGCACAGCCCTGCTCCACCACCTCCACCTCACACAGGCTCAGCCGCTCCTCCCGGCCGGGGATGGTGACGGTGACGTATCGGCCACGCAGCCCGTGGCAGCAGACAGTGCTGGTGGAGCCGGGGCTGGTGTCCGTGATGGTGCCGCAGCTGCAGGGACGGGGATGGGGGGGTGAGGGTGGGCAAGCGCCGAAGCAGCCGTGCACTGCGGGGCCAGCGCGGCGGCACTCACATGGGGTTATTGGTGCCGTGGCCAGCGAGGGAGTCCCCGACATGGACGCGGGCGCCTTTTAGCCGGTGCCAGCAGCAGTCCAGGCGGTTCCTCACCACCACGGCCTCCACAGCGCGGCGCCGACCCAGGTCCACCGTCCACCACGGCTCCGGCTCCCTCTCGGTTTGAGAGCAGGAGCCGTGCCGCCAGTTACCATCCCGGTTCCCATCCACAGCATTCACGGCACTGCCGGCCCGGCCGGCTGTGGAGGACTGTGCCGCCGGGCGCCGCAAGGCCAGGTTTTGGGCTGGGGGATGCCATGGGATGGTGACACCAGCTCCGGCTGCTTGCTGCCAGCGGTGACCCGTGGCCAGGCATCACCCCATGGGCACAGAGCTGGCGCTGGGGTCTGTCCTCCACCAGTCCCTCCAGGAACCCTCACACCGCGTCCCGGCACACCGGTGTGCCACCAGCTCGGCGACACGTGTGACATCCCCATCCCCAACCCTGGGACCCTCACAGCCCCCCCCCTCCCCCCAGTTTCTCCTGGCGCTGTAGGGACCAGATCATCTCTGGGGGGGCTCGGGGAGGTCAGCGTTCGCTGACGGCCATCCGGCACGTGCTGGCTCCCTGCCGGGGGGGTCTTTTGGTCCTTACCGCCGGGTGGGGGGAAGCAGCTCTGCGCCGTCACCTCCACTTCACAGAGGACGAGGAAATCCTCCCGGCCGGGGATGATGACGGAGATGTAGCGACCCGGCAGCCCATTGCAGCAGACGGTGGTGGTGGAGCCGGGACCGGTCTCCAAGATGGCCCCGCAGCTGCCGGGAGAGAACCGTCGTGGCTACGGCCAGCAGGAGAGTCCCGTGCCGGGGTGGGAGACCTCGCCGGAGACCCCACTCACACAGGGTTGTGCTTGCCGTGGTCAGCCAGGGAGTCCCCGACGTGGACCTGAGCACCAAGGAGGCTCTCCCAGCAGCAGTCGCGGCGGTTGGTGATGGTGACGGCGTAGACAGCGTGCCGGCGACCCAGATCTACACGCCACCATGGCTCCAGCTCCATCTCGGTGTGGGCGCAGGAGCCGCGCTCCCAGTCGGCATCGCCGTTCCCGTCCACGGCGTTGGCAGCCAGGCTGATGGCGTTCAGCGTGGATGACTGGGCGACGGGGCGACCCCGCGCCACGTCGAGGGCTGGAATTGCCGGAGGGACCGTGGCACGAGGCTGCCGTCTCTGGCTGTTGCCCTGCTGGCCCCCTGCGGCCCCACTGGGACCCCCTCACCTCCGGGCAGGGGGAGGCAGCCCTGCAGCACCACCTCCACCTCGCACAGCACCAGTGTGTCCTCCCGGCCAGGGATGAGGATGGAGACGTAGCGACCCGGCAGCCCCTGGCAGCAGATGGTGCTGAGCGAACCGGGGCCGGCGTCCGTGATGGTGCCGCAGCTGCCGGGGAGGAAGAGATGGGGCTCAGGAGACGGCGGCACCGCTGGGGTAGTGATTCCCCCCCCCAAACCCCCACGTTTTCGGCTCACACGGGGTTGTCCCTGCTGCGCCTGGCCGGCGCGTCGCCGACGTGGACCTGCGCTCCCCGCAGCCGCTCCCAGCAGCAATCCTGCCGGTTCTTCACCACCACGGCCGCCACGGCGCGGCGCCCGCCCAGGTCCACGCTCCACCACGGCTCCCGCTCTCGCCGCGTGTGGCTACAGGAGCCGTGTTGCCAGACGCCGTCCCGGTTCCCGTCCACCGCGTTGACGGCGATGCTGATGTTGGGGAAGACGGAGGACTGGCTGGCTGGGCGCCCCAGCGCCGCGTTATAAGCTGCCAAGGAGGGGGTCAGCCCATCAATGGGGTGTCCCGGCGAGGCTCCGTCCCACCGGGAGCGACTTCATGGATGCTCCCACCGGCGAGGAAGGGCAAAGGGTTGGGACTCACCAGCCGGCGGGAGGAGGCAGCCCTGGGCAGCTGCATCCTGCACCAGGACCTCACCGAGCAGCAGCAGAGCCCAAGGCAGGGCTGTGGCATTGGGGGCTGCGGAGGAAGGGGGACTGCGGTGGGTCGGGGACCACCCTGAGCCCCGGGGAGAGGGTCCCACCACAGGGAGAGGGTCCCAGCCCCCTCTCCAGGCGTACCCCGAGCCCACCGGCTCCCATGGGTCTCACCGTCGGCGCTTACCACGAGACATGCTGGTGAGGGAAGGCTGGAGGGTCTCCGCCAGACCCTCAGTGATGATCCGGCTACTGGTGTACCCTCGCCACCTCCCTACTCCGGGAAAACCTAAAGGGAAGAGGATGAGGAGGGAAGATCTGGCGCCGTGGCTAGCTGGGGTTTCCTTTGGGTCTGGCGGAGGAGGAGGAGGGATGGAGGAGGCTGTGCGGCGCCAGTGTCTCTCAGGGATGGCATGGGCTCGGCACCCAGCTCCACCGGTTAATGTTTAAAAAGCTTTTGGCAACACGGTTGGGTGCCGCTTGCGGCGTGACCTTCCCCAACCGCAGACGACACCGTGCCAGGGAGGGACGGCGCGTCCCATGGGAGCCCAGCGCCGGGAGGAAACTGGGGCGTGAAGTTCTCCAGTTGGAAACCAGTTTCCACCCCAGCCCTGCCAGGACGGTTTCGGTTGTCCGAGAGCTGACGGTGGCAAAAACCAAACTGGTTTTTGGCGGTGGAGAGGGAAAGGGCTTCATCCTCCCTGGGACTTCCCGAGAGCTGGGGGGGAGAGAATCCAATTTTGGCTGGAATAGGGGGTAGGGAAGGACGGCACGGTGGGGATGGCCAAGGTGATGGCCCCCCCTTATTGCCACGGCAATGGTCTTCCTACATCACCATGGTGACAACCCTCTGCTGCCGCGGTGACAGACCCCCCCCATCACCGTGGCGATAGTGCATGTACCCCCCGTCCCCCCACCCGCTCTGGGAGTGTCGCCCACAGCCGATTCACCCCCCGGCGCAGGCAGAAAAGCATAGGCAGGAGGCAGGGGGGGTAAAAGGTCGGTGGCCTTTATTAATTCCTTGATAAAAATCCAGATAAAAATCCCTGCGGGCACTGGGAAAGGCTCAGTGCAGGCAGGACAAGCAGCCCCCCCACCCCGGAGGCAGCCCCACTCTCGAGGGCGAGGTGGCTCCGCCATTTTGCCTCCTGCCCTCACCTGCTGGCCAAGATCTCCTCGGTGGCCAGGCGGGCGAGCTGGTGGAAGTCGAAGGTGAGATATTTCCTCCAGAAGCGGCGATCGCGGCCATAGACCTGGGCAGGGAAACAGGGGCTGCCTGCGGAGAGCGGGCAGAGAAGACCCCGGTTAGGAGGGGATGGGCAGGTGCTGGAGCGAGGTGGAAGAAGCCCGATTTGGCACCTCCTTGTCTTACCGATGCCGTGAAATATCCTGGCGATGGCCCTGCCGGAGAACTTCTCGTCCTGGCGGATGGAGAGGAAACGGCGGATGTCGGCGCGGGTCTGGGTCTCCCAGTCCCGCAGCTGTGAAGGAAAGGAGACAGCGGGGGTCACGTCCCTCCTCATCCTCACCCCAAACCTATCCCTGGTCTCGTCTAAACCAGAGCTGCCATGTACCAGAAATACTGGCTGATGGCCCAGCTCCCAATAAAAGTGGATTTGCTCACTTTAGTGTCGCCGAGATCTTCCTCCTCCTCTTCCTCCTCCTCCTCACAGCCACGCTCAGCCTGCTCGGCAGTGGGCTCCTTCTCGAAGTAGTCGCTGAGCAGAGCCTTCAGGCAGGAACTCCTCTCCTCTTCCTCATCCGCAGGGTGAGGACCCCAGGTCTGGAAGGCCACACTGTGCACCCCAGTGTCAACCTCCTCTCTTCCCAGTACCAAAACTGGCCCCAAACTGGGAAGGACGGGAGGGCAGGCAACCGTGGGGCCGCCGCACGGAGGGCTCTGCGAGGGTTGGGTGGTCTTCTCCACCCGCGCTCACCTCTGGAAGGCCTGGAAGCAGGTGTGGAGTTGTCCAAGAGCCATCTTCTCCCTGGCCACCACCCTTCGGTGGAGGAAATCGCAGACAGAGTCCAGCTCCTGGTCGGTGAGGTCGCCGTAGGCACGTAGGTGGAAGGACAGCTCTCCAAACTCCACCATGACCCCGCTCTTCCCCTCACTGCGACCGTCTGAAGGCACCAAGAGCTGGTTGAACTGGTGCCCGCCAAGACCCGGTGCCCACCGAGACCCAGCCAGCTGCTGGCAGCGCAGGAGGGATTTTCCCCCCGCCTCCAATGAGGAATCCGGGGATGCTGGTACCTTGCCGCAGGCGCGGATCCCACTGGAGCTGGCGCAGGGCACGTTTCACCAGCGGTACTTCCCAACCCATGGAGTCGCTCAGCGAGACCACATTGAATTCCAGGGAGCTGGTGTTGCTGTGGTTCCTCCCTGCCAGGCGCTCCCGGGCCAGGAAGACGGCGATGGGGGGAGAACTGAGGGCAGGAGACACCAGAAAACTGCTGGCACCATGGCTTGGAGCCCACTTTTTACCTCCAACGGACCCCAGGGCCGTGGAGCAGCTCCCACCCGGCAGAGACCACTCTGCGGGGGCTCGCCCCTAGCACGGGGAACACTGTGGAGTTGACACCGGTGCTCTGTGGCGCGGCTCTAACCTCCGTGCCACGGTCCGGAGCTGCTGGGGTCCCCCGTAGCACAGGAGCCGGCAGGAGGAGTAGGTGTGAGGCAGCAGCTCCAGCCAGCGCTGCGGGTGCAGCTCCAGGTAACACAGGAGGGTCTCGATGCCTGCGAGAGGAGAGTGGGGAGTTGCGGAGGGATCCCAATCCCCCTTCGGGACCTCTGCGGGCCTCACTCGGGGCCGATTCCCCACCCCTCACCTTCCTCCCGTATGTCCAGGGATTCCACAGTTTGTTGGACGGGGATGGCTCGCTCGTGCTTGTAGCACACCCGCTGCCTGCTCTGCCTCGCCACGCCGCCACTGCCGCTGTCCTCCTCCTCCAAGAGCTCGGCCATTTCAGCATCCTCCACCTCCCCGTCCTGTGAGGGACATGGCGCGCAGCGCGGTGTCAACGGTTAGAGGATGGGCAGGCTCCTGCCTTCTTTTTGGGACATCCTAACTGCTCTCCTGCCCATTCCTGGCCAGATCCTACACCATGGCTCACCTTGCCCCAGCACTGGTGCTCCCCAGGCTTCCCTCAACTGATTTAAGCTCCCTGATGTGACCACCCAACAATTAAAAGTGTTTTCTACCACGTTAGCTCATTACTTAATGAGTTAAAAAGCTGGGAAGGCCACTGGAGTGGGGCCCTCAGCACCTTCCTCACCTTGATGACGTCCTGGTGTTTCTGGTGCAGCTCCAGGCACTTGCAGGGAGTGAAAACCTTCTGCACCATCTTCTTGATGGTGAAAAAATCCACCGTGTCGCCATAAATGTGGCGCCGCAGCTCATGGAGATCCCCACCCTGGGGAAGAGGTGGTAAGCCTTGGGGAAGACCCCCAAAATGGAGGGGAACCCCCCCACACCCCGCTGGCAGGCCCTACCTCCGGCTCCAAGAAGAGATGGCAGTGAGCCGGCTCACCGTCTCGCCCGGCCCGGCCGATCTCCTGCACGTAACTCTCGAAATTTTTGGGCATGTTGTAATGCACGACGCCGCGGACGTCCGATTTATCCAACCCCATGCCAAAAGCCACCGTGGCCACCACCACGCGGAGTTGGCCGCTCATGAAACTCTTCTGGACGCGTCGGCGTTCGGCAGCGGATAGGCCAGCATGGTAAGCGTCCGCAATCCACTTCAGCGGCCGGCGGACGGTCTTCTTTGCTGAAAGAAAGTGGGGAGAGAGGTTTTAATGGTGTTTAATTAGTGATTTCCACCAGCAAAAGCAGAGCAGCTAATTAAATCAGGGATGGAAATGAACAGCAAACCCCGCCTGTGGCAGAAATCAGCCCTGGGGACAGGGTGCCATGGGCAGGAGCAGGGCTGCTGCTCCACAGCAAAGGGGTGCGCGCTCCTCGTTAGCTGCCAGAAGTCGTCAAGCCCCAGCTGGTTTGGAAGTGGGACAGCACGAGCTCGCCCAGGCTTCAGCAAACAACAGCAGAGCTCAGCCACAGATCCACATCGCGGATTTTGAGGGAAAATAGACTCCCAGTCACGGTTACGAGGTTCAGAAAGAAAAAAAAACCCCGGAGAGCCGTACAATGAAGGCTTCCTGTGTACCAAATCCAACGTCGAGCCTTATTAATGACAGCTGATTAGCATCCATCATTATCGGCTGTCGCTAGAAAAATCAAAGCCTGGCTTTAGAGCCTCTGACGCAGGTGAGGGAAGATAAATGCTCTGCTGCTGTCAAGAGCAGCGCTCCGTGGCCGGGTGAAGCCGCCGATGGAGCCAGACTTTGGGCGCCAGAAACCTCGAGCATGGCTCATTTCCTAGGGATTCTCCATTCTAGCGTGGATTCACCAGACAGGATATTTTGGGCTCACGCTTCTTTCGGAGAGCAAGGCCGTGCCGCTTACCCTTCGCTTTTTTCCTTTCGGCAGCATCCTGTTCCGGCTCTTTGGCTCCGGCGGGTTCCTTCAGCAGCGTTCCTTGGAGGCAGGTCCGGATAAGCGCTGCGATGCGAGCTGTCTCCTCCCGCCTTGTGCAGTAGACGATGATGGAGTCCAGGCACCCAAAACGTTCCCCTTGCAGCAGGGCAATGAGGGCCTGCAGGGCAGAGAAAGGGGTGAAGGTCCCCCCAAAAAAGGGCTGGGGACTTTCTCTCCTAGAAGATCCACTCTGGATCCAGCACCACAGCAACAAATCCAATTCCTTTAGATCCATCCTTGTCCCTACCTGATCCCTGTCCCTGTCCATCGAGACAGAGAGGTGCAAGTTCGGGGGCACGGCGGCGGAACGCACGGCTATCCCTTCCTCTGCTGGGATGCCGAGGTGTTGGGCCACGTCCCGTGCTGTGGCCAGGGTGGCGGTTGCTGTCAGGCCCAGGAAGCAACGCACGCCCAGGCGATCTCGGAGAACCTGCCAAGAAGAAGGGAAAAAAAATAAAAAAATGGGAGCCTGACATCCCTCCTGGCCCCGATGGGTTCCCTCCGCCTTGGGGTGGGTTTTCCCTCTCATGCACCTTGCAGAGCTGCAGGTAGCAGGGACGGAAATTGTGGGACCACTCGGAGACGCAGTGAGCTTCGTCGATGCAGGCGAAGGCCACGGCCGGCAGTTGATCGGCAGAGGGCAGGCAGCCGGATCCCGATCCGCTTCCGCCAACCAGGGCCTCAGGGGACAGCAGCAGCACCTGCACCTCGCCCTGCTTCACCTGCACCGGGAGCACCGGATCAGGGAGGAGAGAACCACAAGGGATGCTTTACCTGCTCTCCCAGGGAAACGGCCTGGCTGGGACATGGCATCGCCACTGTCCGGCACTGCCCTCACCGGGATCACGCGACCGCATGGGTACAGCGATGGTGGCGGGGACCTGAGTGTGCACGGTTCTCCCTGGCGAGTTCAGAGCCCCCAGTCCCTCACCTTCTCCATCACTGCTTCCCGTTGGGCTTTGGTCATGTTGGAGTGGATGCAGACGGCCTTCAGGCACGGCGGCAGCCCCGAAACCTGGAAGCAAAGCCCGTCACTTGGCCACGCTGGCCTTCGGTAACTTGGGGGGTGAACCCCCTCGGACACCCACCTCCCCTGTTTTGGGTGCACGTGAGCCTTGAACCCAGTGGCATCCTCGCAGGGGTTGGGGTGGGAGAACTGGGATATCCGAGCAGTACCTGGTCATCCATCAGGGACACCAGTGGGGAGATGACCAAGGTGAGGCACTGGGAGCGCTTGTGGTAGAGGTAAGCGGGGAGCTGGTAGCAGAGGGACTTCCCCATCCCCGTCGATAACACCACCAGCGTGGACAGGCCTGGCAGAACGAGGAGTTGGGGACTTCGCTTGAGGGGACAACCCGGCCACCCCGCACGGGAGGGGATCACGGGGAGCCCAAACCCCACGGAGGAAAGGAGGTCGTGGGGAAAATAAACCCACCGGAGAGGATCCTCATGATGGTCACCTCCTGGCCCGGGCGGAAGGAGCTGTAGCCCAGCGCCTTCAGAGCATCAAATACCTCCTCCGGGGTCTCTGCAGGGGGAAGGACACCCAGTCAGGCGGGGATCAGAGGGGCCAAACCCCTCCCGGCCCCGCTCCGAGCGCCACAGGGAGCCGTACCTCGCACCTTTCCCTCTGGCCCCAGGTCATAGAGGGGCTCCATGGGTGCAGGGGGAGCGGGTGGCTCGTATGCCGGCCTCCGTACATCCAGGTAAGTCGTTGCCTCTAAAATCTTCTCGGATCTTTCCTGGTCGCTGGTTCCGTTCTCTGCCAGGGATGAAGGCAGCAATCGGGAACTGCAGGCAGCTCTTCCTACCCTGCCTGGACATCCACTGCCACGCAGGAGCAAGCACGGTGAGCCCGCCTGTATTTTAGGCCGGCGTTCCCGGAGGAGACACATCCCAGCATAAACCCAGGCTGCTGAAGCCACCTTTTGATGCCAGGCAAACCCTCCAAGGAGCGCAAGCAAACTTCCCACAGGGAAAAGGAAACAATTCCACATCTCCTGGAGTTCATCCCGGAGCCAGCCACAGCGTGTCAGCGGAGAGCGAGGAAAGCCGGCAGGCCAGCAAGCCATGGGGCCTCACCGGAGAAGGAGAGCTCTCGGCAGACGGTGTTGGTCCTGTGAGCCACTTCTTCCAGCGTGGGCAGGGGAGCCTCTTCCTCTTCATCCGCGCAGCTGCTCTCCTCCGGCAGCGGGACGGCAGCTGTCTCTGCAGCTGGGAAATGGGTCCCTTCTCTACTTAAATCCACGGTAGAGAAACCGCCTCATTTTTTCACCCTCTTCCCACAAGTTCTTATCCCTGCAAATCCTTAAGCCAACAGCGGAGAGAAGCTGCAGGGAGGTGGGAAAGCCCGACAGATGCTTCCCATCCTCCAGCCTCCGTTGTGTCTGCTCCGGCACAGCCGGGTCCGAACCCGGCCCACAGCTTTGCCAAACAAACCCCATAATCCGGCGTTCAGAGCCTTACCTCGGCCCTGGCACGCTGATGCCCAGTGCCCCGTCCCGCCGCACCTGAAGCAGATGTCCGAGCTTCGGTCGATGGATCCGCTGCCTCCTCCGAACCGCTCTGCTTTCTTCTTCCACTTCTGCTTCCACACCTGCGAAGCAGGACCATCTCCAGTTACTTTTATATTATTATTTTTAATAAAAGTATGTTTTATTATGTTTTACCTTGCCCCAGCGCCAGGCTTCTACCAAAGCGCTGCATAAGCATGCCAAGCTTTAAAAAAATAAAGGCAATTTTCTTCCAGCTGATGCTCACCTCACCCAGAGATGATCCTGAAAGATTTCACATTAATTAAAGGGGAGATATTAAAAAAATCCTAGGACTTTGTGGCAGAGCTGAAGCTGAAAAGGCCGACCGGCTTCTACCCAGCAGGACAAGCCCGCTACAGCGAGGTCTTTCCCCTCCTATGGCGTTTTCAGGGCGAAACTGCTGCTGAAGGCAGGGAAGTCAGGCAGCAGCGGCAGGGGCAGGGAGCTGAGCCGTGCCTCCTGCCTGCGCGGTCACAAAATAAAAAGATAAATTAATTAGCAGGTAAAATGTGGAAATTGAAAGAACGACATGAAGATGAGCGAGAGCGGGAAGAGTTTTAAATTCATCCTGGGCCAGATGAACTTAAATTTGACTGGAAATGGGTTTGGCGGTGAGAGCGGGAGAGCAGCATGGTCCTGTCCGGCAGGAGGCTTTTGGCGATGCCCTGGGACACGCTGGCGGTGCCAAGGCAGCCGCTGAGCGGTGACATTACCTGCTTGCGAAGGCGATTTCCCCGCAGGGCGTATCCTCGGACGTAAGATTTCTTCTTCAGGTTAAGCCTGACGAAGTTGCCACCTCTCTGTGGAGGTGCTCTGTGGGGAGAGAGCTTGGCTAGGAACCCCCCTGCCCACGTGTGGCAGTGGCTCAGGGGGGGCCATCGGGTCCCCATCCTTCCCCCCGCCACCCCTCAGCTCCTGCCTGCACCCAGCGCCCTGCCCACAAAACGTCTTTGAGGGAAATAAACTCAAAATCTTTCATCCCTTAAATGTGACCAAAGGCAATGCAGATGCTCACGGAGAGGCGAAATGTGTGCAGGGCATAATTATGTACAAAAATCAGACTTAAAAAAAACCCAACCACCCCAAACTTATTCCTTCCCCCTCTCCAAATCCCTGACTTAACACAAAGGAGGAGGAATTAGGGAAAGAACAGCTCACTATTTATAAAAATTAAGAGGAAAAAGCTCCCTGGGCTCTCTCAGTGTCCTTTTCCAACCACGTTTTGGTGCTTTTGAACACCACAAGGCATCGTCGCAGCCCGTGACCTGAAGGGGTCTGGCAACCCCCCATGGGAGTTTGAAGTGAGCTGTGAGCTATGCCAAGGCAGGCAAACTTGCGGCAGAGTGCCTGGCAGCGCCGCTGGCACACCGGCAGCGCCAGGAAGTCGGCAGGACCTACCTGGCAGCACCAGCTCTGTGGGTGGGTCTGGGCTTCCCCTCCTCCTCCTCCTCCAACTCCCCCAGGATGTTTTCCAAGGGATCCGACACCTTCCCACTTTCCTTTTGGGCTGCCGCACGCTTTTCTTCCTCCTCCTCTTCCTCCTTGCTCTGCTTCAGCCCGCTGGCAGCGCTGAATGTTCCCTTGGCTGAGTCCCGGCGGCACCGCCTGAGCTTTGCGGGAGCCGCCATGCCGTCTCCACCATCTCCGTGTGGCCTTTTCCTCCCGGAATCTTCCACCGATGGCATCCCACCGCCTCCCTCCTGCTCCAGGGGGGCACATCCGATCTCTCCTCGCTCCCTCTCCTGCGTGGCACCCGGGATTGTCCATTCATCCCCCGGTGACCCCTGGCACCTCTGCAGCCAGGCGGGATCCAGCGAGCCCAGTCTCTGTGCCACTGTCTGCTTCAGCTGCTGGAATTTATTTGGCGGCGGTGGCAGGGGGGGCTTCAACCCTGCAGCGAGGACGATGGGGGCCAACCCTGACACCGAGGGAGGAAGGAGGAGATCTCCCGGCTCGCCTCCCTCACTCTGTGAGGCCTCCGCCGGCGCCATGGCTTTGTCACTTGTCCCCAAATTTGTCTGAAGCCCAGGGACAGCCAGGGTTCGCCTGACAGTGGGGGTCCTCCTCAGGGTCAGGGGTGTCTCCTGTGGATGGGGGAGAAGGACAGATGGGGGTCAGATCGTCCTCTGAAACTCCACACCCCATCTCCAAATCAAAGGGGACCTTCGCTGGCATTTGTGGGTGCTCTGCACCCCCACCTCCCACTCTCTGCTAACAGTGGGGGGCTCTGGCAGGAGAGGGCTGTGACTTTGGGGGGCTCTGGCAGGAGGGGGCCGCAATTTCAGAGTGGCCAGAGGGGGGAAAAAAGGTCACAAGCAGCTTCAGTAGAAGCTTCTATCTGCGCTGCAGCGGTCAGCGCCAATTCCCGGCCAGCCCTGACCTTCCCGGCAGCTCCCAGGTTGGATTTCAGCTTCATCCCGTAGTACTGTGCTGAGGCTTTCGGCACAGCGCAGCTGCGGTGGCTCAGCCTGGGGGTTTTCGGCTGTCGGTTCAGGTGTGCACCCCAACAACTGGACTCCGGCACCTGCAATGACACTGCAAACTGTTAAATCCAAACCATTAAATCCCCAAACCTGTTAAACCCAAACCTTTAAATCCAAAAAACTTGAATCCTATCATGAAGACGAGCTCCAATACCTCCGAGAGGAGAAAGGAGCTGGACAACAAGCTCGATATGATCACACCACGGCATCTTTCGGCCGCAGGCAGCACGTCCAGTGCGCTTTGGGGTGAAAAATGCAGTCCTGGGGCATTTATCACCTCACCCTAAGCACAGGGGCTGGCTCGATCGTTGCCTCATTAAGAGGCTGGTTAAAAAGAGCCCACGCTTTCAGCAGCCTGGATGCTGGTGAGCGTAAAGCGTGTGAGGGATCGCAGGCATTCAGTTTCCCACCCCCACGGTGCCCTTATGCTCTCTGTTTGGGGTGTCTTATTCTCCCACAAAGCCAAAAATAGGCATTATATAGTGCCAATTAGACAATTTTCCTTGCTAAGGTCAAATAAACCCCCTTATAAACAGGCAGGATGAACATGGCTTTGTCTGCAGTAAAGGACAAAGCACAAACACCCCAAAGCGCTAGCGTCAAGGGTGAATCTCGGGGGTTCAAGGTTCCCAGAGACAAAACTCAAGGCCAAAGTCAGGGTGGTTCTCTGGTACCTGCTCTGGGGCTGCCGGTTGGCAGGAGGGACTGAGCTGGGAGGGATCCGACTCCTCTCTCTGCTGCTTGAGCATCTTGTACTCCTTGTAGAGCCCTGTGACAGATTGTCAAGACCATTTTTTGGCATATTAGGTACTTACCGGAAAACCCCAGCAGTTCCCACACCAAGAACAATTGATGTGTGTCACCAAAGACCCCCCCCGACATCAAACAAACCCAATGATGAGTGTCCAGCTTGGCGTGAGGGGTCACCCCCACCCACGAAGCACCCACAGCTCCGGCCGAGCGCTCCACCTGCCCGTGGGGGGAGCCCAGCACCACCCAGGACCCTAAAATACCCCCTCAGGGTGGGGGGTGGCAGGGCTGGCACTCACGTCTGGTGTCCTCTGGAGCTGCCTCGATGTCGGCCTGTGAGGCAAACACGTTAAAAGATCATTATTTCAGGCTACGAAGCAAATTATTGTTACTTTCTGCTGCTGTGGAACGAGAGAGGGCTGGCTTGGGGTTTTTATTTTATTTCTTTTTTAAAAAGAAAACTGTGGTTAGGGCAGCATCACTCTTGTTCCTGACTCTGGGATGTCTGTTCTCCTGTGATTTCTTTAGGTATAAGATGTACCTTATAGAAACGGAGGTGCCCCACTGATGGAGGG